ATTTGGTGGCAAAACCACTAGTTATAGGACATGTGTCATGTCTTTACTAGTAGGAGACAGTGTGATAATGAATCATAGTGATATTCTTGACTAAACATTTACCCTTGGTGAGCTAAAGTAATTTTTCAGATTTTTCCACCTCACCAAACTATTATGGAATTTGGATGAGTATTGTTTCTTTAAGTATTTGACGATTTTATTTCCATTCTAAATATCAACATCATTGAGTGTATTTTATAGGAATTGGGAGGCATTTTCAGATATTTGGGATTCCCTTCGGTTGAGATTTTCTATAAATATGATCATCATCGAGGTTAGTTATGGGTAATTTTATTTTATTAGTTGAATCTTATTGACTCTGTCAACTTATCGATAAAGGATCGGGTTAATTGTCATATTTATGCCACTATTAGTGAATCTTTCTTATAATAGACCTTGAAGTATGAATAAGAACGTATAAAATAAATATCCCGGTTAATGATGTGAATGTATATTTGTTTGATAGTTTGAAACTATTAGTGAATTTTTCTTATAATAGACCTTGAAGTCTGAATAAGAACGTATAAAATAAATATCCGGGTTAATGATGTGAATGTATATTTATTTGATAGTTTGAGTCATTCTGACTCCTATCTATTATCATATAATGATCAGGCTCAAACTTAAGTTCATTTTTTTTACCAGTATAGCATCCTAAACATCATGTGTATACCTACAACACGCTCGTCATTGCTCATACGGGTATATGATTTTGAATGCATTTCATATTATGCATTTGATATGCAATGCAGTGACCTATTACATTAACATATTATAATGTGTAATTTTCATGATATGTATGTATGTGAGATTTTATATTTGCATATTGCTCAGTCGTACCTATATGATGTGTTTTATATTTTGCTACATATATGCATCATATGATTGTATGTTAAAGTATCATCATGGCATAATGCATTTTATGCATTGAATGATATGCTTACATGATATGTTTGCATGTTGTAATGTGTGTGTGCATAGTGTTTTTGCATATTAGTGTGATGCATTACTACAGCATAATACATTTTGCAATGCTAAATGGAATGCTTAAATGATACATTCTGCCTATTACAATGCATGTGGGAGGATATTTTAAAGTGTTTGATGCAAATCAGCAGTACAAATGATGGTCATTTGAGTGTGCACAGTGTTCTATTTAGAACCCTATAGACGCCTTATGTCTACATATATGAATGGTACAAATCTAACGACATGATGCTGCACCATAAGTTGTTTGTTACTTGTTTAAGGTGAGCTATTGTGCACTGATAAATCTCCTGCAGTTACTCATAGATGCTTGCATTCATCATAAGCAAATTGTTGCCTATAGGGGATTAGCACATTTGCTTGACACAGAATTAGTGTTGACTATTGAAATGTCCTAGCATTTACTACTTGTTGTTCATCGTCACCCATAGGTGGATTACTATGCATGTTACAAGTGCCTATATTGGGGCAATTATATTTGCTACAAAGATTCTATAGATATTTGTAGGACATTGTACATTGCAAGATTTTTATAGTAGTTCGTAAGAATTTGTATGTATGTAGCTCCATTGTGATATAGATGTTTGCATTTGTTTAAGTTCTTTTGCATTTTCTATGATCTTCGATCCTTGCTTGTAAATAATGTATTAAACATCCACATTCACAAATGGTTCTTTATCCTTGCATTATACCTACTACTACTTCTTACAAGCAAGCTGATTTGTTCATTTTAAGAATAATTATGATTATCAAGTGAGCTAAATTCGTCATAAACTTCTCCAAGCATGTTGATTGTCGTCATTTGCAAGAGTTTGGTATGTTTGTTTACAGTAAGGAGATATTACAATCATTGTACATCAGGTTAAAGTATCCACAATAGGTTAATGCATTTGCTTAAGAACATAATTGATATTGGTTGTAGGGATGTCACCTTATTTGTTGCATATCCTCTTGAGTATGGCCGCAGTGAACTTATCACATTCACAGTTTGTTCACTGTCACTTCCTGCAAGTGAACTAGATCGAGTATTTATTTGCAAGTTAGTTGACTATAGTGTGTAGGGGAACTACAACAGCAGGTTAATAGATTTGTGACATTAATTAAATGTAAGCCACATTCATTTTGAACTCTTTAAATGTACTTTGGATAATAACTCATAACAATTTATACCATACCAATCCTCTTTGCTTGTAGGAGTTTAATGTACTTGTTTGCAATTGATTATCATTAACCACACAAAAGATACATTCATCTCAAATCTTTCAAATGCACATTGGTTGGTAATTTATTGCACGTAAATTATCATTTATTGCAGGGTTTAATGTATTTACTTTTATTTCTTGTTGATGTCTACTTGCAATTGTTTAAATGCTCCAAGTTAATTAAAATTCATCACCTTTCATCTGTGTGCATTGAGGGTCTATTCACCACAAGTCCCCTACTTGCATTTTGCATTTTTTATGTCGAATATTAGGTCATGTTCCATGTTTAGTAGTTCAAGTTATGTTCCTTATAGTTTGATTTATATGTTCAGTTCCCTAAATTTTGTTTAATTTTAGGTCCTCTGTTTGTTCAAATTATGGCAGCCTCCGGGCATCTCCCCATTTAGGAGAAATTTGGAGAGCTTGACCTTCCCTCCACGCTACAAGAGCATATATGGAAGGTGTTGGGTGACACCGCAAACGTAGTTCTTCAATCCCACCATACTACGAGAGTGTGTATGAGTCTTTGAGGTACATTTTTTGAAAGCATAATTATTCCTGCAGGCATGAAGACACATACACAGGTACTTAGGATTGTCCTCGCCATACTACGAGTGTAAAGACCATTTTGCTCCCAGGTTCGTCCGGACGAAGTTGGATCATCCGGGACGATTGGTACAGGTTGTGCAGGAAAATATTTTTGGCTGCATGGTTCGTCTGGATGAAATTTGGATCGTCTGGACGAAATTCGGATCGTCTGGACGAAATTCGGATCAGAGAGCAAGTCGTCCGGGACATTATTTAATTTCGTCTGGACGAAATTTGTCCAGAGCCCAAATCATCCTGGGACGAAGTTGCGATCGTCCGGGACGATCAGTCTGGATATATAGGAATGAGATATTTTTGGAAAGAAAAAGGACGTCCAGGAGAGAGAAAAATGAAGGAAAAGAGGATTTTTGGGCGACTCCGGTCCATTTTCATTCGTTGCTGTAGTTAGAGAAGTTGCCCGACTCGAGATAAGGCACATTCCGCCTTTCTCAATTTTCAGAAGCGATATTTTTTACGCATTTTCTGTTCCGGATTTTGTTTCCGTTAGCGAATTTCTGGTATTATTTTCTTCTGACAAAAGTTTTACCGCGTAACTTTTGGTATGTCTCTGAGATGATAATTGTGCACGTTTTGAGTATTTTCTGGAAGATTTTTACCAGATATTTTGAATTCTGCGGTATTTTAATTGAACTGCAATTTATCAGGATGTTGAAAAATGTTTTGTCAGTACAATGAAAGTCTTACAATGTTGTTGTGAATGTTCTGTGGTAATTTGGTAAATTTTCGAATCTGTGAATTTTGTGTAAATTTTGTATACTGCCGTTATGCCGCTGAATTTTTGTATGATATCTGAATTTCTGAAATGAGATGATTTGGATGAATTGATTATTTGTATGCTATCAGAAGGGAGTTATAAGGGGCCGAAATCCTTTGTGATTTTGTTGTCTGGGTCCGGGAAGGGAGACATAAGGGGAAGTTCTAAAATCTAAAATTTTGTATATATGTTCTGTTCTGGTGCTATAAGCACAAAAGGGAGCCATATGGGGAAGTTCTGGTGCTATAAGCACAAGGGAGATATAAGAGGAAGTTCTGACATCTGGAAAGAAGTTCTGTTCTAAAATTATATGTTCTGTAAAGCTGTAATGTGATTATTTCTACTATAACTTATGTACGTTATTGGTTATTCTGTACGATCCTATCTGATCTGTGATTTGAAGCTTTATGATCTCTGATTTGAATTGGAATTTTGATATGACTTCAGTTTTTCGTATCCAATGTTTGATTTCTGATTGAGCTATTATCTGTTGTCTGTTATACAATTTCTTTACGATTGTTCGAATTCTGTACGGATAATTTTCTAATACATTTTTTGAAGTGAGTTACTGATGATTTTGATTGGTGATTGATGTCTTGCTGAGCTGTTAGCTCATCCTTATTTTCTGCGTGATTTTCAGGTTCTGGGAAAGGGAATGAGGTCTTGGATTAGACGTTCTGAGTCTGATCTGTGATTATGTACTTGATACTTTTGATTTTTGTACAGTCATGGCTTTTCTGTTCTATTCTATTCTTTCTGTCTGAAGCCATGCACTGTATCTGTATTTATTTATTTTGAGGAAAGAAAAGATAGATGAACTGTTCTGCATTCGGATGTTTATAGTAGCTCTGTGTTTTTCTATCTGTTTAATACTTGGAAGAAAATTCTGAAGCAAATTCCAAAGGCAGATCCTGGATTCTCAATGGTTGTATCACGGCCCAATGCGAGTGGGATCCGTCCCGGACGGGTTGGGTCGTGACAAACTTTAGTGGTATCAGAGCAATGGTTTTGGAATTTGGATTGTAAGACAGAGCTATAGAAAATGATCTGTGAGTCTTTCTGGGGTAGTTTTGATTTGTCTGGATTTTTATTCTGTTGTTTTATGCTTAGTTTTCTGTGTGATCATGGATCTGCCAGACCCTGACATGATAGATGGGCAGAGTGCTAGTCAGACAGCTTCAGTGGGTCGTACTACCCCAGTGGTTGGTTTTGATACACTTTCTCAGTTTGCTACATTGGTTGCTCAGATGATAAGCGAGAATCAAAGTAGAGCCTCTACTGTTCGATCTGAGGATATTAATAGACATCTGCATATGTTTCTGAGATTGAAACCTCCGAGGTTTGAGGGAATTGTTGAGCCCAGAGCAGCTGAAGAATGATTGAGGAGGTTAGAGAAGACTTTCGACATTATGCAGTGTCCGTCGGACAGGAAGATATCGTTAGCAGTTTTTCTGTTAGATGGGGAAGCAGAGCGCTGGTGGATAGGCCAGCAGGAGGAGAAATTCCAAGGGAAGCTAAATTCTTTGATTACTTGGGAAGAATTTTCTGAGGTATTCCGATCGTGGTTTGTACCCCCTTCTGCACAACAGCAGATGCAGGAGACTTTTCTGAGACTTGTTCAGGGAAGCAGGACTATGATGCAGTACGAGGCCGAGTTTACTACTTTAGCCAGATATGCTCCGCAGTTGGTGAGTACTTCTACCGAGAAGTGCTATCAATTTCTGAGGGGACTACGAGATAGCCTGAGGCAACCCCTAGTGCCTTTTCACATTTCGGATTTCTCTGAGCTGGTGGAGAGAGCTCGTTATATAGAGAATGATCTGATGGCTACTCAGCAGCGGTGGACTGCGAGTAGGAAGAGGTTCGGGGGTGATACTTCTAGCAGTGGTTCCTCTGGCAAGAGGAGATTTATTTCCGGAGACTCCAGGAGGAGTGGACAGTCAGGATTTTCTGGTACTGCTACTACCAGTACGACCAGTTCTGGATCTATCAGTGGGGCACCTGTGTGCCAAAGTTGTGGACGACGATATTTTGGCCAATGCTACAGGATGACTGGTCAGTGCTTCAGATGTGGTCAGTCAGGACATCAGATTGCAGAGTGTCCACGGGCTGAATTTGATAGATGATCTGAGTTCCGATCTGATAGTAGACCTATTGGTTCAGCAGGAAGGCCGAGGACTGTTCCTCCATGCAATGTGATTGAAGGATCCTCTGGTAGAGGTGGTGGGTCGAGTTCTGTGGCACAGAGACCACCTACTAATAGTTAGCGGGAGTCTAGTGGTTCAGTAGCTCCTGTTCCAGTTCAGCCACGTGTGTATAGTTTGAGTCAGCAGGAGGCTCGAGACGCTCCGGATGTGGTGACAGGTACGATTTATATTTCTGATCAGCCCTGTCACGTCTTATTTTACTCTGGAGCCAGTCACTCGTTTCTTTCCGAGTGCTGTTTTGATGCTTTGCATCTGGATTCTATTTTGTTACCAGTTTCTCTTTCTGTTATTTTTTCGGCTAGAAGCAATTTGATCGCCCGAAAGTTTTGTTTTTGTGAGATTGATATTTCTGGCAAGAAGTGGAAATCGAGTTTGATTTTATTGCCGATTTCTTCTTACGACGTGATTTTGGATATGGATTGGCTGAGTCTATATGAGGCTTAGATTGACTGTTTGAAGAAGCAAGTGAGCTTGCTTTTGGATGGAGAAAGATATATATTCCAAGGATTACGAGGTGTTCTATCATGTCTGATTTCTGTATTGGAAGTCAGAAGAATGTGGAAGAAGGGTTGCCCTGTATTTTTGGCTTCTATACGGAATATGAACCTAGAGGTGGGTTCTATTTCTGATATACCAGTTGTACGGGAGTTTTATGATGTATTTCCTGAGGAGTTGGTTGGTTTATCTCCGGATAGAGATGTTGAGTTCTCTATTGATGTTTTTCCGGGTACAGCTCCGATCTCGAAAGCTCCGTACAAGATGGCACCGAATGAACTTTCTGAGTTAAAAGTTCAGCTCTAGGAGTTGGTGGATAGAGGATTTGTTCATCCTAGTGTTTCTCCTTGGGGAGCACATGTACTGTTTGTGAAGAAGAATGACGGAACACTCCGTATGTGTGTTGATTACAGAGATTTGAATAAAGTTACGATCAAGAATAAGTATCCATTACCACGGATTGATGACTTCTTTGATCAGCTTTCTGGCTCTTCTGTATTTTCGAAGATTGATTTGAGATCTGGATATTATCAGGTGAAGGTGAAGGAAGCTGATGTGTTGAAGACAGCTTTCAGTACTCGGTACGGGCACTACGAGTTTTTGGTTATGCCTTTTGGGGTAACCAATGCACCAGCTATTTTCATGGATCTGATGAACAGAGTGTTCAAGGAGTATCTAGATCAGTTTGTGATCGTCTTTATCGATAATATTCTGGTGTATTCTGCTTCTGAGGAAGATGATGCCAGACATTTGAGCATTGTGATGGAGACTTTGAGGCAGTATCAGCTATATGCTAAGTTTTCCAAGTGTGAATTCTGGCTGAAGAGTATTTCTTTTTTGGGGCATGTGGTGAGTGGTGAAGGTATTTCTGTTGATCCCCAGAAGATTCAAGCTGTTGCTGATTGGCCAAGGCCTACTACGGTATTTGAGGTACGTAGTTTTTTAGGCATGGCTGGATATTATAGAAAATTTGTGAAGGGATTTTCTCAGATTTCTACACCTCTGACGAGACTGACTCAGAAGTCAGTAGCTTTTGTTTGGACACCAGA